CATTGTCCTTTATTAGCTATAACCGATGTTGCCAAATGGTGAAATAGAAACGAATCCCTTTAAATGTTGAATGCATTATTTCATTCCTCTTTTTTAAGTATTTAAATAATTTTTTAAAGAAAAAGGTTGAAATGATAAGTTTAAAATGCATTGTTTTAGAGCTCTTTTATGAAAACTACTTGGAGGAACATTCCCATTATGTATTAGTTGATTCATTTTTTGTATTTGAACAGGAACATTGTAAGTGTGGTAATTGTTAAATTATGAATCAGATTTTTTGGACCATTTTTGGTCTCAGAATAGAGTCCCGTTAGAAAAATAAAAAAATTGTTAATTTTTGATTTGTCATCAACAATTGACTTGGGACATCTTCATTAATCACTATTGATCCGTTTTTTCATAATCAGAAACTAAATGAGAATGATAACAAAAAATTGTTCGCCATTATTTAAACATATTTATGTTTTATGGGAATTTCTACAAAATAAATAGGTCATGAATAGAACAAAATATTTTTAGTAATCACCACTGTTGAATCTAGTTTCTGCCTAGGTGTTTTAAGGATGATGTATATGTTTTGAGTTTATTTTTTGGTTTCAGTTCCCGAAACACAGATCAATTTCGCTGATGATCATTCACTGGAGTCGATAACTTTCTCTGATCTGAATTTCATTACCCCTGTTTCCAGTATAGAAGATTTCAAAGTTTCTGCTATAGAGACGTATCTTGAAAAAATCTGTGTTTGTCAGGAAGCTATCGAAATTGAAAATTTGAGTGAATTGGAGAAACAACTAGACTTTTTACTCACTGAAGAAACATTTCATGGGAGTATAAGAGATAATATGGTCTCAAAACTCCAGTACTTAAGGGAAACTATACAAAATCAACCAAACATAAAAACGAAAAAAATAGTTGTAGATGAATTGCTGGCGTGGAACAATGAACAGCTCTTAATGGACATGCTCAAACATAGCTTTCTTCATCGCGAATCAGAAAAATTGACGACAGTGAAGGTTTCAGCAATTTTAGGAGGACACAGAAAGGAGTTTTCTGCTCAATATGGTGAATATTTATGATCTTTTATTAAATACACATGCAATCCTCAACTTTCATATTTATGATAAGACGTGAATGTAATTGCATAGGATCTCAATAAGTGATCAACTAATTATATAATCAATTAGACTCTTAACCCTCAGACTATTTGAGCTCAAAATATGATTTTTCAAAATGCGGGATAAAAATGAGAACAAGAATGTCAAAAATGAGTGTGCTAGTGAAATGATAATTGTTGAAATTAAACAAAGTACGTTTTGTATAATAACCCATATTGGAATGTAACACTATGCAAGCCCTCTTCAAAAAATATCGTCACAAAGAATGGGTTTTCCAAATTAATTGCCACCGACAACATTTTGCCTTTGAAATGTCTAAATAAGTACCTGTATTTTTTTCATCTCTTTTAGGCATAATTATCAAATACGAGAAGGTACTGGTAAATAGAACATGTTTTTTTGTGAAAAATACTTTGAACTCAAGCAGTAACTTATCGGGGAGAAATAGAATTTTTTTTCTATACCTGAATAAAGTTTCAATTACAATTTTGATTTGAAACATCTATAGCCGCATGTAGAACCGATTGCTGGCGTGGCGACGCATGCCATGGTGTCGAGTCGCCATGCCCAAGCGACTGTGCGATTCAATTCCCACCGGTTCGGCGTTACGCTATCTCTCTCGCCACACTGAGCTCGGATACCTTTAGTGCATACAGTTGTGTTTACTGTAGTATACAGTATAGAAGTAAAACTTCTGTTTTACTGAATAAGTAATTTTTTAAACTCATTAAAAATTAAATATGTCTAACAGTGATAATTTAGAATTTGACTCCTGCAAAGAAGGCAAAATCAAAATACAACACACTATAAAGTTCAGTTGGTTAACTATATTTATTTTTCAAAGTTCATCTGGTTTGGAGATAGCACAGCTTTCATCCATTTAAATAAATAGATGCTCTCTAAAAAATTGAACGTAATGTAGCTATAGGAGTTCAAACTCATTCCTTTTGGACAAACACGTGCAAATTTGAGTAGGTACATTCTGGAGATTTCACGACCTTCGGCTTTCTTCGACTGTCCAAGCTCACTTCAAGGTCACGCGTCGTTAGTAAGTGTTTCGGAGAGACTTCAGTGAGTGGACGAGAGAAACGTGTGACGTAATCGATGCAGAGAAGGGTGGAATGAGTATCCGAGAGATTCTAAGATAAAAGTGTTAACTTGAACACCCTTCAGATTTCCCCTCACCGTTCGGGCTTTCACCCTTGAGCCACCTTGTCACGCACCAGTCATGTGATTCCAGTGGTCATCGGCAGCTGTGGAAAATTGAATAAAAAAACGACGATATGAGAATTGAATCCAGGTCATGAAAAATCAGATTGAAGAAGAACATGGCGGTAGGCACTCTGTGGGGTCTAAAGGCTTAATATACATCAAGAAAAAAATGACGTAATGTGTGGCAAAAATAAAAAAAAACATGGCAGTTGAACTTTTCATCGTCGATCCCTCAATGTGTACGGGGTGTCTCAAAGGTGGAGCAATGGGAAAGCGAAGTATTCAGCAATGACATTTCAAAATACGTTGTTTTACATGCGTTTCGACCGTATTGCGTGCGTTGATTCGTTATAGGAGGTATACAGATTCTCGCTCAAAATTTCATACTTTTTCTCATGACGCTTCATTATGGTAATTTTCAGACCTCCGATCGAAACCTTGTGGGACACCCAACTCGAGGTAGGTGTGATGTGTGTAAGAGTGAAACGATGCAACTTGTATGTGTATGAAAAAGAAGTTGATGACGAAAGTGTGGAGTAGATAGAAATCAAAGGTGATGACTTACTGAAAGGGCACTAAACCGTATCTTCTTCAATAATAGTTGGATGCCAACGTGCCGTACATCAAATNTTTGTTGAAAACTCAATATACATATATATAATATAATGATACTATATTTTGAAAACAAGAGCTAATATATAATTTTTATGGTCACTTTCGGTTTTAACACGTGGAAATACATTAAAATCATCTAATTTCAACCCCGAAACAAAAACTTTGTTGTGTTGTGAATCGGATCGTAATGTACAATACGTCAAATTGAATAACAAAGATGGTGCAACATGCCAAAAGGGCACCAAGCAACATCTTCATTAATGAAAGGTGGAACTCAACATGGAGCACATCAAGTGAAAGGGAAACGAAACGCAGAATTCGTTGACAAAAAAAAACAGATATTACTGCCAGAAGGACACTGAGTGGTATCTTCGCTAATAATACAGTATAATCTCACTAATCCGGCACTTCGATAGATCGACACGTCCAATAATTCGGCACCCTCTTCCCCACGCCCTCCCCCCTCTACACTTGGGTGCTTCTGTCGTTCGCGTCGTCGCATTCTAACCTCGAAACTTATCACGTGCACGTGCTCACGTATTTGTATTTTTCAAGTGAGAATAGTTTATAGTTAAAAATGTTAAATAAACGCAAACACAAGACACTAGATTTGAATAATAAAATGGAGATTTTAAAGAAGTTAGATAGTGGAGAAAACATGTGCAAATTGGCAAGAGAATATAGTGTTGGGCGTGCTACTATATACGATCTTAAGAAAAAAAGGCAAAAGATAGAAGACCACGTCAGGACAATGGAAAGCGTTAAACACTAAAAGTTGGCGATTGCCAAAGATGGAAAACGCTCTCTACATTTGGTTCATACAACGGCGTTCTAAACAAACTCCCATATCTGGAAAAATTCTGAAAGCCAAAGCAATCGAATTCTATAAAAAATACCCACAAAGATGATTTTCGTGCCAGCGATGGATGGCTGGATAAATTTAAAAAGCGATTTGGTATCCGTCTATTAACCATTTAGGGTGAGAGATCATCAAGCGATGAATTTACTGTACAGCCATTTTTCCAGCATTTTAACAACAAAGTAGGAGAACTGGGTCTTTTTCCTGATCAAATCTATAATGCAGACGAGAGCGGTTTGTTCTGGACACTGTTGTCCAATACAACATTCGTATCTTCGAAGCAAGTGCACCAGGTCGTGAAGTAAGTAAAGATAGAATCACATTCATGCAGTGTTCAAATGCTACCGGAAATCACAAATTGGATTTGTTAGTGATTGGTAAAGCAAAAAATCCCAGAGCTTTCAGAAACATTTGTCTGTCAGTCTGCTATAAGAACCAAATTATAAGTTGGATCACGAGAGAGATATTTAGCGAATGGTTTTATAAAGACTCTGTCCCAGGAGTCGAAAAGTTTATGAAAAGATCTAACTTGCCCATAAAAGCTTTACTCGTACTTGACAATGCTCCTGGCCACCCAAATGAACAAGAACTTAAATCAAGTGATGGGAATAACCAAACCATCTTCCTACCACCAAACTGCACTTTACTTCAGCTGATGGATCAAAATGTTATCCAAAAAGATTTTGTATAAAAATAAATTGCTGATCCATATTATATCTCAGGATGGTGATATAACACAGAACCTTAAAGAATTGAATTTGAAGGATGTTGTATTCTCTCTTGCTCATGCTTGGAAGTCTGTTTCATCTAACTTAATCCAATCTTCATGGAAAAAGTTATGGCCTACAATGAATGATATATCAGAAACAGAAGGAACAGATGAATGGGATTCTGAAGATAATCTGACTGTGCCGATTGGTTACAAAATCTATCAGAAAAAGGTTTGGAAACAAGTGAAGAACATTTAAAATCTTGGTTTGATTGCACATGAAGCAGTACAAGAAGAAGAAAGCTTTGTAGAAATATTGAGCCACCAACTACTACCACAATTGTAAGAGTTAAACCAGATGATGGATTGATTTGTTCCAGTACCTGCATAACATGGGCAGAAGAAAACGGCATATCTGCCAAAGATATTATAATTCTTCGCAACATGCGAGAAAAGGTTTTTAAGCAACGACTGCAAGTTGCACAAACGCAGACCTCAATTGAGGATAATTTTAAAACTGTGAAATTACATATGTACATGTTAATTCATTATACTACATACAATTCATTACCTCTATGAAATGCTTCATTTTATTCATTACCTATGACTTTTTCACTATAATCCAGTAATCCGAACATTGCAATAATCAGGTATCCTACGGTTTTCAATAGTGCCGGATTAGTGAGATTATACTGTAGTCACATCATCACGTGTAGCATATCAGATGAAAGGAGGAGGGGTGTAGAATTCATGAAGAGAATATAATGACAAAAGGGCACTAGCTCACATCTTCACAGAGAGATCATGATATTGAGCACATGAAATGGTTATGGATGTTGAAATTAATGAAGAAACGTCATGTCGACATGTCGAATAGGCATTAGGTGTGCATGTGATGAAATAATTTCGAAATTCGTTTAAGAAGCATATGTTAACTTGTAGTGATGTTGAGAAAAAATATGAAAATTTGATTATCCACCTTTGACATCTTTCTAAGTTTCATGCAAAATTCAGGTCAAAAAACAGGTCACTTCCGGTTTTCACTTCCGGTCGTCCGATTTCGAGATTTCGATATCAATGGATTAGTTTCGATGTCAAGAAACATTAATATCCATTTTGTGGAGCCTAAAGGGCTGCATAACCTATTTTCTTTATATTGACTGCAACAGGCTGATGTGAGTACTCATTTCGAATCATTTCAGTAGGTGAATTAAACCGTATTTTAACTTCCTCCCATCACTTGACCGTTACCTCAAATGACGTCACACCCTCAACACTTTACCTTGTCCTTGAATGACATCACATGGCCTTGAGACTCGACCTTGAACAACGTCACACCCAACTTGCTCCCACAACTTGGCTTTGAAAATTGACGTTGACCTTGAGATTCAAACCTTCGGTATGTGACCTTGAGTTTTCTATTACCTCAAATACCATCCTCTTTTAGATGATGATTTTCTTCATAAGCTCAGTGCATCGTATATTCTCATCCAGTTTAGACTACCTGAATTAATTGAAAAGTTAGTATTTGTTGAAGATCGACCCACCCAAT